TAGGTGTGAAAACCATGTGTTGGTAGGTGTAAGCTTGGTGTGCGGCAGTTTGCATTTTCACTTTTTGCATTTTAGCCGCTTTTCACCGCAGCTTGACTCAAGCGCTGCTCTAGCGAAAATAGCTGCTTTTGCCCCTTTTACTCTGAGCCCAATTTGCTACCCTTGCACTCCGCATTGGTAGCAGAGCGCTGTGATGCTGTCAAAGCTCCAGGCTCCCATGGCCTCGGCTGCGCCGAGACGGCCTGCTGGCAGTAGGGTGGCAACCCAACAAAGGGCTGAGTCCCTGAAGGAGGCTGCGCCTCAAGAAGGAACGCTTCCTTCTCCAATGGCGGCAGCGCCGCACCCGCAAGAGGACTTTCGACGTCATGGTCGTGGCCCCGGATCGACGCACTCCGAGCCGATAGGTGGCAGAGGAAAATCCACTGGGAAAGGCCAGATGCATGCCCAGCCCATTCCTGGTCAGGGATGGTTCACAGATGGGCGCCAGTGGTGGCCAGTGGACCCTGCAATGATGATGGCTTCATGGTCGTCAACGCCCTACTCATCATGGAGTTTCCTGAGCCAACAGACTCAGGTGAACCCCATGGAGTTCGAGAAGATCGGAAAGAGCCAACACGGCACTGGCACAAAGACGCAGACGAAGACCAAGACTGAGCCAGAAGCCGAGAAGCCATCAAAGAAGGATAAAGGCAAGGACAAGGAGAAGAAGGAGGACGCAGGTCGAAAAGGGAAGAAACCAAAGGAGGAGCCTCCCGAGGAAGATCCGCCCGACTGGGGCGACGGAGACGATGGGGAAGACCCAGATGGGTCGGATTACACCTATGAAGAAGAGAGCGAGGAGGAGGAACTCCAAGAGCCAGACCAGGAGGTCGAAGTCACACCTCGGTCTGCGGTCAATCTGACACCGAGGAGCGCAGAAGGTGGAGGAGCCGGGCCGCGACCCGAACAGGCCAGGCAGCGACCTGGACCCAAGCGACGCGCGGCGGCGCACAGGGTGCATCAGGCGGCAGCAGATCCGCCTAACAGACGCAGACGTGGTGGAGCACCACCGGATGGCAGCGGCCCTCCATCCACAGCTGGTTCGGGTGCACCTTCAAGCCGAAGATCATCGACGATGAACACGGATTCAGTTCGAGACCTACTGCATCAGCGAGACAACCGCCCTGATGGAAGGGCCAGGGCAAACCTGGGCCAAGTGAGACTGGAGACGTTCTCCGGAGACAGGTCCCAGTACCGCAACTGGATGAAGACGATACAGGCTCAGAAACAACTGTATCAAATCCAGGACAACGAGCTGGCGGTGCTGATGTTTTTGAGCACGACAGGAGAAGCTCGGGAGGTCTTGAATCAGCTGGAGGTGGCCGACATGCAGCAGGAGGGAGGCCTTCAAAGGCTATTGAGACTCCTTGAGGAGGCTTATGGGAGTAAGGCGGATGAGAGATTTGAGGAGAGGCAGTCCGCTTTCCTCAATTACCGCCGCTCTCCTGGCCAAAGCATAGCTGCCTATCTAGCAACGCTCAAGCGTTTGCGCACCGAGTACTTGCGCGAGGACACAGGCACAGTCATATCTGACCGCGCATTTGCGCAGCGGATGCTGACCAGAGCTGCACTGACACGCAAGGAAAGGTACGACTGCTTCTTTGCGGCGGGCGGTTCTTACCGCTCGGCCCCAATAGAGAAGGTCTTGAGGTTCCGGTGTGCGCAGATCCACCTGGACGAACACCCGTCGAGCCGACGGCAGGAAGACCGCGCCGGTCGGGCTGTGCAGCGCCAGCCGCAGAGGAAGAAGGTCTACAAGAGATCAGACCGCCGAGGTCCCTACAGGCCTACGAGACATACCCATGTGGTGGACGAGCAAGAAGATGAGGGGTATGACTATGAGGAGGCCTACAACGACACGGACGACGAGGACTTCGAGCAGGAGGCACTCATGGCAGAGGAGGACATGCCCGAAGAGGAGGATTGGTCACAGGAAGAGTTCGACGATGAAGAGCTCGATGATGTGGACCAAGCGGCCCTCCAGGAAGCCTTTGCAGCTGGATGGAAGGCAAAGAACAAGACTGCAGCAGCCAGGCAGTCAAGAGGATACAAAGGCGATGGAAAGCCTTCGAAGGGCAAAGGAAAGGGCAGGCGTCCAGACTCTCGCAACCCAGAAGAAAGGAAGAAGAACTCGACCTGTGCATCGTGTGGGCAGAAGGGTCACTGGCGAGGAGACAGTGTCTGCCCAAATGTCAGGTCTGGAAAGGATGCACCACATCGCAAGGAGAACTCCACCAACTACACCACCGGCAGATCCAATCGAGGCAGCGCCTCAAGTGCCGCTGGAGGGGCCCGCGAGCCCCCACAAGATGTCCGAGAACGAGATGATCGAGAACCTCTGCAGAGGAAGCTGCACCCCAGCGGGTTGAAGAGCACTGGGAAGGCTGCGCCCCCAGAACCTCCTTCACCTCCCCGGAGAGGAGCAATCGACAAGTCTCCAGCAGACACCTTTGTGGTCCCGAGAGCACCACGGGAACCTCCACCACCAAGGAGACAGACAGCCGCCGGAGCCAGATCACCCCCCTCCAGGTAGGAGGAGACCTGTGGAAGCAGCCTCACCTCCGAGGCGTGAACCCGAGTTGGAACCCAAGGCGGAGAACTCTCCAGAGAAGCCCAAGCCGAAGAGAAGAAAGCATTCGGCAGGGGAAGATCGAACGAGAAGATCAACTGGAGAGGAACGAGACAAGAATCGAGACAGAGATCGTGATCGTGGTCGACGTCGTCGCCGACAGGAGGAGGAGCAAGCGGCTGCAGCCGGCACAGAAGAACCTCGTGCGGCAGCTGCCAACGAGGAGGCCTTTGTCTCGCAGCCATCATCAGGTGTCACAGCGCGGCAGTGCAACTGGACACTGATGGTTGGCTCATGGGATGTGATCAAAGACTATAACTCTGAGGCAGAGGAGACGGTCTCATCTCATTCGGACACAAGCGACAGCGAGATTGACGAGTACGTCAAGAAGTATCAGCTGCATGACCCACCAGCGATGAAGAAAACCACCAAGGAGAAGCTGAAGGTCAAGCTGCTGACAGTTTTGAAATCCCTGGCAGAGGACGAGGAGGATGCCGAAGTGAAGAAGCGCTTGAAGCGCAAAGAGAAGCGCCTACAGGACAAGGCGGCAGCTCGAGCCACTGGCTCTCAGGCTTCTGGATCAGAGGCACCCAGGAAGTCAAGAGCCAAGAAGGAGACCCCGGATCCGAAGTTGGATGAGGATATGGGCCTATCTACAGCGGATTTGCTCCAGCTCCTGCCGCACATGAGCAAGGAGGAGAAAAAGATCCTCTACCGCCAGTTGAAGAAGGAACGTGAAGACGAGGCGGTGAAGCTTTTCGGGAAGAACGCGGCCTCAAGCACCCCAACAATGATGAAGAGGCCAGATCGCCGCCGCGATGGGTACTCGGCTGCGTCCGTACCTTCTGGAACAGTGGGCCGCGGCCTAAGAAAGGAGGACGTGCAGGAACCTCCAGACATGGAAGCCACGATGCCCGTTGGAGTTCGGAAGAAGCGCATGGACCAGTTCAGGAAGGAGCTCTACGAGGCGGCGAAGAACAGAAAAGGGCGCGTGGTACCATCTGAGGCGTCGGATTTGCCGACAGCTGAACAGGAAAATTGCCCTCACCCTTTTGAACGACTGTTGTGGGGAGCAAACTCGAATGCCCAATGGGCAAGCTGCCGAGACTGCAAGCTTCGAAAGGTGCTGTACTATTCGGCTATGCATGGCGCAATGGCAGTGGACCAGACTATGCCGGACATCCTGGAGGAGGACAATGGAGCGTACCACTCCAACATCCTGGCCCCTGGCCATGTCATTCTGGACACAGGGTGCAGAACAGCAGTGGCCGGTCGAAACTGGCACAACAACCTCCAGGAGCTCATGCGCAAGAAAGGGATGCCTTTCTACAAGGCATACCATGAAGAGGTGTTTCGCTTTGGTGCAGGGGCCCCAGTTTTGAGCACAGAGGCGTTCATCTATGCCATCCAGATCTATGACCACAGATCGTGGGTTCGCATTGCCGTTGTGGACAATACTCCAGAGGATGGCAGGGTGGCAGAATGCCCTGGATTGGTGGGCCCGGCAGAGCTGGCCAGATGGAAAGTCCAGATCGACTTTGCCAAGCTCCAAGTTGCCATCCATGGCAAGTGGCAGCCAACAGTTTTGAGTCCTTCGCGACACCCCATTCTGAACTTGCTCAACGTGGGCAACCGTCCAGATCCTGGTCAATGGGAGGTTGGCGAGCTCAAGGAGCTGAGGCAGCGCCTCGCGGCAGATCCACATTCATTTGCCCTCCTGCAGGAGGCACTTGATGAGCTGAGCTCTGATGCCGGCAGCGCCGGGGATGAAGCACCAAACTATGAGGCTGTGCATTGGACGGCACAGCAGCTGGATTCGATGGCCAAATGGCAACAAGACACCGAGTCGGAGGCCATCAATCTGTTGGACGTCATCGGCACGGAATGCTTCCGGGTCACCACAGGTGGGGAGCGTGACGATAGCTCCACTGGATCAATCAGCGAGAGAGAGAGTGAAACCTCTCATGAAGGTGGACTTCCAATGGTCTTGGATAGCAGTGCACCGGAGTCCACGAGTTCAGAGGAGGAGCTGCCCGATGATGTGATGATGGCCGGCAGCGCCGGTGACACAGAACAGCTGACCAAAGGTCAGAAGAGGAGGCTGCTTTCAGCCACCAAGCAGGTGAGCGAAGCGGTTGAGGTCGAGTGCGATCGACGCCGCAAGGAAAAGGAAGTTCCACGCTTTCGACGTCTGAGGACAGGGCTGAAGATCATGGAGATCTTCACTTGGAGCTGCATGCTGTCAAGGTTCGCCTATGGTCTGGGATGGGAGTACCTAGAACCAGTCACACTCCCTGGCTGGGATCTGACAGATCCTCGCATTCAACTGGAAGCCCATGACTACATCGACAAGGTGGACCCCGATTTTGTCATGTTGGCATGGCCCTGCGGGCCCTGGTCGCTGCTCCAAAATCTGAACAGCAAAACATGGACGGAAGCTCCTCAAGTTCTCTGCACAGGTGTCTCTCAAACGACAGAAGCGTGGCCGCGCCACCTTGGGAGAAAACCCGCTCACAAGCTTGGCTTGGAAAGAAGACCCAATCATCGATGGTTTTGGTGATTTCCCGCAAGGGATCTGCGATCAGTGCCAGTATGGCCTGAAACATCCAGAAAATCGGATGCCTCTCAAGAAAGCCACAAGGTTCGTTGGACAGGAGGAGATCGTGGCCGAGTTGAGGAAGAGATGCCCAGGCAATCATGAGCATTTCCCCATCGAAGGTTCTGTCCGAACCAAGGATGGCACCATCTCCCTGTCATCTTGGGCAGGTGGTTATCCAGTCCCGCTGTGCCGAGCGATCATGACTGGGGTGATCAACTATATCCACCGACCAGATGGCAAGCAGGTCTACGTCTTGGAGGACCATGTGGCGGAAGAATCCTATCAGGATGGCATGGATGCAATCCGAGAAGAAGAGGAGCAGATCGCAGAAGAGCTGGCAGAGCCAGAAGAGGATGAGCGGCGAGCTGTGCCGCGAGAGGTGCAAAAAGCTGTCGAGTTTGCACACCGACAGTTGGGTCACCCGAGCCGGGATACCCTCGTGAGGATGCTGCGCATCTCTGGGGCAACTGAGGAGGCTATCCGCCATGCTCGGCGATGGCGCTGCGAAGTTTGCAGCCAGCAGCAACCTCCAAAGCACCCCATGGCTTCAACTCCCACTTTGAGGCCGTATGGTTTCAATCGCAAGATCCACATCGACATCAAGTTCGTTTTTGATAGCCGTGGCCGAAAGTACCCATGCTTGAGTGCAGTTGATTTGGGTACAACGTACCACATGGCAGTGCTGCTCAAAACACGACGGTCGGACTATGTGGCCCAAAAATTTCTGAGGCACTGGTGGTTCAGGTGTTTGGAGTGCCTGAACATATCACCCATGATCAGGGTGGAGAGTTCGAGCTCTCATTCATCCAGCTTTTGGAAGAGATGGCAGTGCCCAGCACGGTGACAGGTGCTCATGCTGGATGGCAGCTGTCTGTGGGAGAACGCCATGGTTCCATCCTTGGCAATATGATTACAGCGATCACCACAGAGCACAACTCAGAGGGGTTCAGCGCCATGAAGTTGGTGATCTCATCTGCAGTTGCCGCCAAGAACATGACGGTGACTAAGGACGGATTTACTCCAAATCAACGCCTTTATGGCGCCGAAATCAAGTTCCCAAGTCTCACCGAAGACACCGCCAAGCCCACCTTTGCAGAGGCTCTGGACGCGGAATCGGAATATGCCAGAGCTCATCGCATGCGCATTTGCGCAAGGTTGGCATTGATTCGCATGGACGTACAAGAGAAGTTGCGCAGGGCCATCCTGCGTAAGCCTGCCCATGAAGGAGAAGGACCATTCAGTCCTGGAACCCAGATCTACTTCTGGACACCAAAGAAGGCCGACAAGCGGTACAAACGTGGTGGACTTTGGCGGGGACCTGCGACTATTCTCACGCGAGAAAGCAAAGAGCGCTACTTTGCAAGCTGGAGAGGCCGCGCCCTCCTTCTGGCAGCGCCCAACATTCGTTTGGCGACAAAGGAGGAGCTGGCACTTCGTGAGCCTGCGAAGGAAGACGCAGATGATTTGGGGGAGTTGCTGCGCGACCCCCACAGGGAGAAGACCTACAAGGACCAAACGCGCTTGAAACCACCTCCAAGGGTCGTCAAGCGAAAAGCTGAACCAGATACGCCAGAAAGGAAAAGAGCCCGCATGCTTCTGCGGGGAACCAAATCAATCCGCCAGATCCTTCAGGACCGCTCGAACCTCATGAGACAGTTCCGGAAGAGAAAGGCGGAGAAACAGATCGAAGACCAACCCGAGCCGAAGAGGGTATCTCGACCAAAGAGGCCCAAGGCTCTCGAAGATGGACAGGCAGCGCCTGAGGTGTCGCCTTTGCCACCTCCACCCGATCCACTGGACGGAGAAGAGGAGGAGGCCATGTCAGAGGCCTACACACCTGGAACACCAATCAATGATGGCGAGCCGCCACATATCGATACGGATGATGAAGGTTTGGATGAGCCATCCGCAGTTGAGGCCGAGCCTCCCACAGTCAGGGCACCGCACGAAGTTCCGGTGCCACCCATGGATGATGATGAGTGGGAGGCCGAGTTTCTCAAGAAGATCCCAGGAGAGGAAAGGAGAAGGTTGGCTCTGGATGACGTGCCATTTTCCCTCAAGCGAAGGCACGAAGGAATCGACGATGCTCAGGCTGATGAGGCCATTAAGAGGCTGAGGGCCAATTTCTGTGCACAGGTGGCCGCGACCACTGTGTTTGGCTCCCTTCAAAATGAATGGGTCTCAAGATATGAAGTGGACCTATTGAAACAGCTGACAGGACTTCCAGTCACAGCAGCCAGGATCCACAGAAGCCCAAGGAAAAGATTTCAGAGACCCCCGAAGATGATAAGCCGTTCCAGGCTGAGCATCCTCATTGGGAAGAATCCCGAGGACACCTTCATCGTGAATGAGACTGAAGAAGAAGTGCGCCACAATCCCAGGCGCCGTGCCAGTTTTTACTGCTGAGACCACAAAATGCAAATATTTGCACTTTAGGCACTTAATGAATTTATAAGTATACTATAAGTTACTATTATCCTTCTAATATCTTGTTCAAATTGTTTTTTCAAAAATATTTTGTTATAAGTCCCACTAAATTTTTAGGTGAACTTATAACATAATAAGGAAAATATAAGCAAATATAGTAGAATATTAGTCAAAAATAAGCCAAAATAAGCGAAAAGAAGTGATAAGAAGTGAAATTTGATTTTTATGTGTGTTTGATAGATTCGCAGGAATGTTGATTTTCGACGAAACAATATTGTCTCAGAGCACTACTTTTCTGACGAAACCTTCCTGAACAGGAATATGCTGCTAAAGAACAATTCTCTGAAGGCGCCTATTTGGAAAAAAAATGGTAGGAAAAAAAAATGTAGGGACAATTTCTCTGCAGGATACTTCCTGAAAAGGAAAAAAAATGTAGGGAATAGTTCTCTGCAGGATACTTCCTGGAAAGGAAAAAAAATGTAGGGAATAGTTCTCTGCAGGATACTTCCTGGAAAGGAAAAAATTGTAGGGAATAGCTCTCTGCAGGATACTTCCTGGAAAGGAAAAATTTTGTAGGGAATAGTTCTCTGCAGGATACTTCCTGGAAAGGAAAAAAATTGTAGGGAATAGTTCTCTGCAGGATACTTCCTGGAAAGGAAAAAAATTGTAGGGAATAGTTCTCTGCAGGATACTTCCTGGAAAGGAAAAGATTTTGTAGGGAATAGTTCTCTGCAGGATACTTCCTGGAAAGGAAAAATTGTGTAGGGAATAGTTCTCTGCAGGATACTTCCAGGGAAAGGACAAATTTTGTAGGGAATAGTTCTCTGCAGGATACTTCCTGGAAAGGAAAAATTGTGTAGGGAATATTTCTCTGCAGGATACTTCCTGGAAAGGACAAATTTTGTAGGGAATAGTTCTCTGAAGGATACTTCCTGGAAAGGAAAAAAAATGTAGGGAATAGTTCTCTGCAGGATACTTCCTGGAAAGGAAAAAAATTGTAGGGAATAGTTCTCTGCAGGATACTTCCTGGAAAGGAAAACATTTGTAGGGAATAGTTCTCTGCAGGAGACTTCCTGGAAAGGAAAAAAATTGTAGGGAATAGTTCTCTGCAGGATACTTCCTGGAAAGGAAAACTTTTGTAGGGAATAGTTCTCTGCAGGATGCTTCCTGGAAAGGAAAATTTTTGTAGGGAATAGTTCTCTGCAGGATACTTCCTGGAAAGGAAAAAAAATGTAGGGAATAGTTCTCTGCAGGATACTTCCTGGAAAGGAAAATTCAGAAAATTCAGAAAATTCAGAAAATTCAGAAAAAATCAGAAAATTCAGAAAACTCAGAAATTTCAGACATTTCCGAAAATTCAGAAAATTCAGAAAATTCAGAAAATTCAGAAATTTCAGAAAATTCAGAAAAGTCAGAAAATTCAAAAATTTCAGAAAATTCAGAAAACTCAGAAAATTCACAAAATTCAGAAACCCAGAAAATTCAGAAAAGTCAGGAAATTCAGAAAATTCAGAAACCCAGAAAATTCAGAAAATTCAGAAAATTCAGAATTTACAATTTAAATTAAAAGGAAAACAATTCAGAAAATTCAGAAAATTCAGAAACCCAGAAAATTCAGAAAATTCAGAAAATTCAGAAAATTCAGAAAATTCAGGAAATTCAGAAAATTCAGAAAATTCAGAAATTTCAGAAAATTCAGAAAATTCAGAAAATTCAGAAAATTCAGAAAATTCAGAAATTTCAGAAATTTCAGAAATTTCAGAAATTTCAGAAATTTCAGAAAATTCAGAAAATTCAGAAAATTCAGAAAATTCAGAAAATTCAGAAAATTCAGAAAATTCAGAAAATTCAGAAATTTCAGAAAATTCAGAAAATTCAGAAAATTCAGAAATTTCAGAAATTTCAGAAAATTCAGAAAATTCAGAAAATTCAGAAAATTCAGAAAATTCAGAAAATCCAGAAATTTCAGAAAATTCAGAAATTTCAGAAAATTCAGGAAATATTTATAGAGGAAAAAAAGGATAAGTAAGTATTTATAATAATGTCAAGTTAGGATTAATAATTCCCTGCGATTAATCAACCACCAAAATCTCAGCAAAAAAAACGTATGAACAAAGTATGCGAAATCAAAAGAAAGTAAATTGTAGAACAATATGAACAATAAAACATAAATAGCAATTATAGAAAATACATTTTCAAAACAAAAAGCAAGCCAGCTAGCTTTAAATCTTTTACCAACAAAAAATATAATAGAATATTTTCCAAATTAGGTATCCATCTTCATCCCTGAATTATGTAGTTTGGAAGTAGTAACCGAAGCCTCATGTTGTGAAAGATCTCATTCTGGGCAGTCGTATACAATTGAAGAAGACACATCAAAAGAGCAATTGTTCTTTCCAAGAAGCATCCTTTATATGTTTTTTCCTTTTGCCTCTGAATGATTTCTCCACAGATGTACTTCAAGATTCTTTGTGTCACTCGCAGCCGCGCATATTCCTGTAGAAGAACCATTTCCTGTAGAAGATAACTCCTGAAAAGCATTGTTCCTGAAAATGAAATCAATCTGAATAGAAAGATTCCTGTTAAGGATAGTTCCTGAAAAGGATTCATTCTGAATAAAAAAAATCCTGAAAGGATAAGTCCTGAAAAGGATAATTCCTGAAAAGGATAAATCCTTAAAAGGGTGATTTCTAAAAGGATGATGCCTGAAAAGAATGAAAAAAAACAATGAAAAAAGGCAAGAAAAAAATATTCCAAAGGAAACAAAAAGGTCGACAACTATTTTCAAAAAATATATAACAGAAAAATGCATCGTCTATAATCAATTCTGATCATCAAAAAAACATTGAAAAATAAGTGAAAATAAGTAAAAATAAAGAAAAAAACTTCTATGATAAGTTCATATAACTACTAATATCTTCATTAAGTGCCTAAAGTGAAAATATCTTCATTTTGTGGTCTTAGTGGAAAGAAATGACCATTTTCTACAAGACGCACAAGGAAGGAGAGACCGAGCCAAGACCTGCTCACATCGGAGGCCTTGATCCTCAAACTCAAGAAATGTGGGAAAGAGTTGGATCCCACCTTTTTCGATGAGAAGGAGCAGGCTGCCTTTGACATCTCTGACAAGAAGGAGTGGTCGGAATGGATTAAGAATGGTGTTGTGCAGCACGTGACACCGGAGGAGGCAGAGAAGATCCCGCGAGCCAACATATTCCGTGCACCACTGCGGATGCTTCGCACAAACAAACAAGCAATCAAACCGGCTGCTGCCGTTGGTCGCCAAATCCAGGTTGATCGTCCCAGGACACCTGGACCCACAACTCGGCGAGTTCAGGACTGATAGCCCTACGTGCCCGCAGGCTACAGTTCGGGCAGCAAAAGCGGTTGCATCCGCACGGAATTGGGGTGGCACAACATTTGATGTCACCACCGCATTTTTGAGTGGCAAGAATCTACAGAGGAAGGTCTACATCAGGGCACCTCGTGAGGGATTACCCTCTGTGGAGAAGTGGCCACCAATTCAACCAGGTGAGCTTTTGCAGATCCTCAAGTCCGCGTACGGATTGACAGAAAGCCCACGATTGTGGTACCTGGAGGCTCTTGATCGTATGAAGAAAACAGACCTCCAGGAGCTTGAGATCTGCAAATCCTGCTTTGTGGCCAGCGGCCAAGATGGGCGTAGCTACGCCATACTTTGTCTCCATGTTGATGACGGGCTTTTATTGGGTGACTTGAGCGACCGCAGGGTCCAACGACTCAAAGAACAAATCAATGGTATGTTCACCATAAAAGCCTGGAAGGAATTGTCTGCAGACACCCCACTCCAATTTTTGGGTGTGGATGTGACCCAAGATGCCCGCGGCATCTGTGACGACATGTCCCAGTACATCAAACAGATTCGAATCGAACCTTTGCAAGGAAATGGAGAGCTGGGACCACGCGAGGTGACATTGTACCGCCAATTGGTCATGCGTTTGCGCTGGCCGGCACAACAGGTGTTACCACATCTCCTGTACCAGGTGTCCAACCTCGCACAAAGGGTCAACAAAGCTACGTATGCTGACTATCGTGAAGCGGTTAAACTTCACGGTCAGTTTTTGGATGAAGTTGAAAAGGGCCGCGCCCGATTTTTATACCCCAAGCTCAACGAGAAGGACAAGCTCTTCTACGTCAGCTACTTCGATGCTTCGGTTGGGAAAGAACAGGACGGCAAGTCACAGCTTGGAGCCGTCCATTTTCTTACAACAGAGCAAGCTCGGAAAGGGCCAGCGCCAGCTTCAGTGATCGAGTTCTCAACGAACAAAAGTGGTCGGGTGCTACGCAGCTCTATGTCAGCAGAAAGCTGCTCTATGAGTGGATGTGTTGACCGACACCTATATGGGCGTCTGGTCATTGACCGACTCCTTTTTGGAAATCGACCTCTGGATGCCAACTGGCGTACATCAATGGGCCTGGACGGTGGCGTTGTGACGGACGCCAAGAGTTTGTACGACCACCTCTCCACGACGGGCCAGTTGCCGACAGAGCGGCAAACAATGCTTGATTTGATGGTGTCGCGACATCATTTGGAGAGTGGTGCCTACGAGCTTTTCTGGGTACCTACGCATAGGCAGTTTGCAGACTGCCTGACCAAAAAGATGGTCTGCCTCCTGTGGCAGAGTTTCTGTCAAGTGCCACGCATCTCCCTGCGTGAAACGCCGGAGGAGAAGGCACTGGAGGACCATCGACGCAAGCTGCGTCAGGGCCAAAGGCAGCGCCGAAAGGCCAAAATGAAGAAGGGCTGCGCCCCAACACCGGCTGCGCCGGTTAATTAATCTGCCAGCACACCAACACACTTTCCTTGCAATGTGAAAACCATGTGTTGGTAGGTGTAAGCTTGGTGTGCGGCAGTTTGCATTTTCACTTTTTGCATTTTAGCCGCTTTTCACCGCAGCTTGACTCAAGCGTCGCACTAGCGAAAATAGCTGCTTTTGCCCCTTTTACTTTGAGCCCAATTTGCTACCCTTGCACTCCGCAATAGGGACTTCAGATTCGGAATGTGGATCCCGCAGTGCCCTGGATCAGAGCCTCAGGGCTTAGATAGGTAGCACCTTGTAGCCAAGACTTGCCTTCCTGCCAACCACCCAAAAAAATCATTGATAGGTGTTTTTTTTTATAGTGGGCCTATTGGTTGAACACACGGTATATTCTTCTTGTTCTTCCCGTTTCTATGGTTTATTTTTTCTGGTTGGTGGTTTCAAACATGTTTTATTTTCCATAATATATGGGATAATCCTTCCCATTGACTTTCATATTTTTCAAGATGGTTGAAACCACCAACCAGTTTTCAATTTTGTCGGCACAACACAAAAACAGCTGGCGAAAGACTTAAGAACTGGGCATTCGGTTGTATAGCCGACGTGGCGGCTCGCTGGCAAACACCAGAATAAAGGATGGTTTCAAGTAAACAAACATCTGTTAGAGGCCATCCTGGTGTTCGATTTTTTCACCAAAACAGTGTGTATGATCATTATCATGCACATGATCATACATTATTTGCTTATATTTGGTTGGTGCTTTGGAACATGAATGGATTATGACTTTCCCTTCAGTTGGGAATTTCATCATCCCAACTGACGAACTCATATTTTTCAGAGGGGTGGCTCAACCACCAAGCAGTTATCCTCCCACTCCCCCCACTGTTTTGGATGACCTCAAGTACCCACGGCGGCACGAGATAGCACCCCTCATATGATAGGTATAGACTAACCATGTTCAGTGAAAATCCGTTTACACATACGAAAAAAAATAACAACCTGGGTTATTGCCAAGGATCAGATCTTTTGTGAGCTTGACCTTCACTATTCACTTTTTTAGCGGGGGATAAGCCAGGATACGCCGCAGTTTGAGTTTTTGCCCACTTGTAAACGGAATGTTCAAATCTTCCCCAGTTCTTGATAATCAATATTCATCAATAAAATTCAATCACGTAATTCCTCAATGTTTATCAAATGCCAAATGGGTCATTGAGTCATTGATCATCATTACTTGGTGAATTAAGGGTACTCAGCACATTACCAAGTCGTTTCAAGTGGCATTATTCTTTTTTCGTCTCATTTGCAGGCTGAAACAATACGACATGATGGGTCTATATAATATGTATGGCACAATGATACACTGATACAATAAGAACAGCAGCATCCGCCAAACTCATCAGATTTATCCATTACCCCCCGGTAATTTTAACATAACTGGGGAAAATATGAAACTGGCCCATTTAAAGATGGTTTACGTGTACAGAATGGTTATTTTCCATAGCTAGGTTGAAATACAGTAGGAAATTAGATACAACTACTATCAATTCACTGTCGATACTATCCTGAAAGCGCTACAATTAATACAATCACTACAATGTGGGGCCCCCAAACGTTATAAATTGGTTTATAAACCCCATTAACTATAGTTATAAGTACCATAAACCATAGTTATTGGAGTTATAAACCAACTTAGCTATCTTGGGGGCCCCACATTGTATCCTCCGGAAGACTAACATAGATGTGGAAAATTTCCATGATGTTGTAGATCATTTTTCACGCGGGAAACCAGAAGGGTTTTCTACATCTATGTTACCCGAGGGTCTGATTATTCAACATAGCTATGGAAAATTGCCAATTTTTATAGATTCTAGATGGTAAAAATGATGATTTGCCTTTCAAAAAATGTGATTTCCCTATACCTAGGGGCATTAAGTTCCACGTTCAACCATTAAACCCAGATAACATGCATTAATCCCGAGTTATAAGATGTTACAAGCTGGTTTATAAACCACAGTTAATAAACTACAGTTGACTACTATAAATTTATTGATCGATACATCAATTCCACTGGTTTTCACATCGATTTGTCCAGCCAGGCTCCAAGGCCCCCAATAGAGGGTGGCAGCACTTTGAGCAGCTTCCTGCGTCCGTTGCGGTCCTTGGCCGGGGCCCTGAAAGTGCTAGGGTTGCCCATGGAAAATGTTAGTTTAACCACGAAAAATGGTGGTTTAACCATCTAGAATGGTGGTTTAGCTATCTAAAATGGATTGGAATTGTGGTTTAACTAATTATCTAAAATGGTGGTTTAAGTATCTAAAATGGTGGTTTAACATGGTTTCACCATGAAAAATGGTGGTTTGATGAGATTCTCATGGGAAATAAAACGTTGATGAGTTCCTTAGCCTCCGATGTCCTCAAATATGGCGGGCGGCTGGGATCGGATTACCAAATTGAAGATCTATTTTCTATCCTTATGATATATCCTTTTATCCTATTTTGGGATATCCTATTATTATTACTATTATTATTATTCAATAAGATTCGTTTTTATTTTCCAAGTACAATATATCAACCTGGTTGGTGGTTTGGAAGATTTTTTATTTTTCCATATATTAGGAATGTCATCATCCCAACTGACTTTCACTCCTGTTGATAGCAATCCAGCAGCGCACAAAGTCTGCTGTTGTTTCACTGAAGCAAGTACGGCGTGATTCGCCGATTTATGTTGCTATGCTAAGTCTCTCACGTTATTTGAAATGCCTAAGCAAATGTCGTGCCAGCCTGTGGTCTCAAGGGCCCTAATGCGGCGGCACGATCAGGAGAAATGGAAAAGGGTGCATGCAAATATCAATGTTGCATAAGCTACATTCACACGCCCTAAGAAAAGTGAAAAATTGCTGATCACCAACGCTCGTTGAAGTCAGAGCGATATCCCCAAGCGCCGTGCCGGTTTTCGGCTAGCTGCCGGACTTGTTTATTCTGTTTCTTGGGATCAGCACTGTACTTATCACCTTCTTCATTTCGGGCAAAAGTGAGGCCCGTCTGAATTTGCTTGTCTCTGGCTAAATCTTGTTCAACCTTGTATTTCATCATGGTCTTGGGACTGGTTCCTCTGGGCGCATTCTGGATCTGACTTTGGAGCACGCGCATCTCTCTTTCGAGACTCATGTTTTTGCCTTTCTCCTTGTCAAGCAAATCTACCATGACATAGATTTCCATGTTGCTCTTGTTGACAAAACGATGCCACCCTTGGATTTGTTGATCATTGATTTCATCCACCTCCAAATCGAACATGCCTTGAAAACGACGCATTCTCTCCATCGTAGTGTGATTGCGCAAAAGAGCTTTCGCTGTCTCGTTCAAATCGGCCTCATTCTTTGTCAGAAAAACGTGCATGCGATTTTTCCAGCCTACTTGATCTTCTTCTTCCATGACTGAATCTCGAAGCCTTTTCCAGTGCAGGTACTGCGAACGGGAAAATTCATCATATGGGTCAAATGGATCTTGCAGATCTTCGGCTTCATTGCAGGACTCGCTTTCCGTTTCTGATGACAAAGATTCGATGTTGCCAGTTGGAGACGCCATCACACCGCGTGAGACGTGCGAAGGGACATGGCTCAAGTTGGCAGTGTGACTACGGCTATGCTCTGTGTTTCTTTTGCTACAAGCGATCTTACATATCCAAGGGACAAACATGGCTGTCATGAAAGTGAGAAAGAGCATCACAAAATTGGTGGCTTCATACCACCCTTTTGATCCTTCCACTTCTTCAAACTTTGCTGCCTCGGTCATTCCTACACTCTCTGTCAACATGATTGCAGCTGCTCTCAGAGCTGCATTCTTCCAGGCATCCTCATTCCCTTGTTTCTGATTCATGTGCTTGTAGCAATGCCTGCGACTGCAAAACTTGTTGTGTGCGTTCTGTGTCTTGTCTACGTCTTTGTTGCATCCAGCCAAAAGGCACATTCCCTTTTGGACTTTCTCTTCGTCATTGAGCAGATGAACTTCCTCTCTGAACTCCTCAGCTGCTCTGCGCAATTCTTCTGCTTGCTTCTTCTTTGCCTCTGCCGTTACTTTCTTGGCTGCCACGAAGTTCTCATCATATCGGAGTTGGTGCACCCCTCTTTGTAGGACTTCATGGAACTTCTCCTTGGCTGCAGTTTTGGTGAGTCCATCCGCCAATTGCTGGTGGGAGTTCACCCATCGCCATGCTCCATCCATCGCTCGCAAGCGTTGGTTCACTATGGCCACTTCGATGGCTGTTCTTTTCTCCGATAGTTTCAAACCGGAGTGACTTGGACGCATCAAACAACGATTTGGCGTCTGTGACCAGCGCCGATTCTCCTGTTTTCTTCATCGTCTCATCATCTTGAATGTCCACAAGTGGATTTACCAAAGCTGCGTTGAAGACTTTCAGCCACTCCAATTCATCCACCGCAATTGCGGCTGATTGAGCTTCTGCCGACAGTGACGATCGGCACATCCTCTGCAATTTTCTGGAAGCCCAGTCCAGAATTGTGAGCTGCATTGGCTTTCCCAACTTCATCTCTTGATCATTGGCTATGAAAGTCAGATACCCACCTTGGCTGCTGCCGTCTTGACGGGTTGCCCATGCTGCATCGCAATATGTTGAGTACCTGATCTCCTCAAATGTGCCATGTCTTACCATCGTCATTTCATACCTCTGGACCACATCCTTGGCAAACCTAAGCACCTTGTTTGCGTCCAGAATGTCTTGGACTTTTGCTGACGACAGTGCTCGCTGCAATAGAGAAACTGCTGCAGATAGCTGCGGCACACATTGTGTTGCTGGCCATGCAAGTGCACCGACAAGTGCTCTCAACTGTCGGCATTCTGTTTCTGTGCACATCTCCTGACTCATGGCTTTTCTTGACTTCTCAATGGATATGGGTTTCACCTTGGTCATGTACTGTCGGAGAGAGAGTGTGACCATGGTGTAGTCCATTGACTGCACAATTTCCATGCCACAAAAGTGAATGGTGGGGCCAAAGCACCAG